CCTTGTCTCGGGCTCCATCTAGTGAGGCAACAGCATGCAGCTGTACCTGCTGAGAAACCGGGATGTGGTACAAGGGGCTGCGTCACTTCTCCGCGGTAGGAAATGCACTGGCAAGGTCTGCACAGCCTGCAGACCAGATGCGGGCTCAGGAACCTCACTCATTGCTACTGAAGTATCCAGTGTCTGTCTGCGACTGTGGGAATTTGCACAACCGCAAGTTGGCATAGGACCACTCCATGGTTGATTAACTCATCCTTTCCTCTTAGGTGGGCTCTGAATTCGTGCAGTGGGGTAGCTTGGTACGATGCACAGGGGAGATGGAGGGCTGCCTGCACCTTCATCCTATTTTCCCCACCGTCACTGGTGTAGGGAGCTCAAAAACTGTAGTCCTCTTCTCGGTGCAGCACTAAGGGCAATGATAAGGTAGTGGGAGAGGGCGTGAAATGAGGTAGAAGGGAAACTGCGTAATGTATGCGCCGTCACGTCCTGTAACACAGAAATGGCTCCATGAGCAGTTTCTTAGAAGACACCAGGTGTCAGCTACTATGTGTTAAGGAACTGCACGTTTGGGTAAAGACAAATTGTTTGCAACAGAGACTGAAGAGCAGTTGCTGTGCAGTCCTTCAGACTAACAGCTGCTCGAATCGATGGCAAGGGGGCAAAGAATGGAGAGGTCAGCTCAGTAGTGCTGCTCTCCCTGCATCTGTCACTTGAAAATATACATTTAGAACCTTGAGCATCTGAAAAAAACTCGTTTCCCTCACTGATACTGTACTTTACTACACAAGCAAGGATGCAGGCTGCTGTTCAGCATGGGGTTGGGTAGTACAATTACAAAAAGTGTTACTACTGGATACAAAGTAATTCTGGCAAGTATAGTTTTTAAGGCATTAGAAACATTAGGGTAACTGTAAACGGTTTTGATATTTGCTATCTGTGATAAATGATAGGACTCAAGCTAGTTCCTTATTTCCCATTATGGGAAAAAAATTATTTTGGAATGTAACTAAACAGTGAGTACTGCTACGTTTTCAGTTGGGACTCTGATTTCACTACCTTGAAACAACTACCTCTTAATTTCAGTAACCGATATTTGAGGATGTAAGCGAGGAAGTACTTCTGGGGCCAACCTTAGTGACAGCTCCTGGCATCTGCTACCTACTTTGCATAAATTGCAGAAGGACAACCCACAGCTCACAGGTCCACTGCTTCGCAAAATGCCACCACACAGAAGGACAACCCACAGCTCCACTGCTTCGCAAAATGCCACCACACATCAATTTTTTCTTAAGACACACGGACAAAATGGAACAGTTGTATGTGGCTGGATATGGCATCCTGTCCTGTGGATCTCCCCAAGAGATCCGTTGCCACAGCCATTCTGACACCCTGAAATGGCTAGCACTCGGTCTGGAAGGCAAAATCTGTAAGCAACGAGAAAGTAACCTACAGCAAAATCTGCTACTAAACCTGTGGGTGCTTCTCTGGGGTTTCTGGTTTGAATCTGAGCAAGTCAGGGAAGCGTGTGGTGTTGTCAAGAGCTTGTAATGCTGCTGCAGTAGTATTTTAATTCATTGGGTTTGTATTTCTTTATGAATATAGAATATTGAGCATTCAAGTATCTAATTAGTGAATAGCAATTGCAGTGAGGTGGCTGGTGCCAGGGAAGAACACCAGATGCTTGTATCTTTTTATAAATTCCTTTCCAAAGAATTTAGCTGGTTATTTAGCAAAGAAATAACCTTATTCCAAAGAAAGTAGAGACCAAATAGCAAGACCCTTTAAGCAGAAATACCAACTTGTGCATATATACAAGATTTAACCCCACCTCCTTCCCACCCACTTAAAATAAAACACTAGACACCTGTCACTGCGCTGTTTCAGTTTAATCCAGTTAAAAACTAATCTATACAAAGTATGGAGCGGGGCTCTTTTTTTAATTTTTTTTTTTCCCCTACATATATTGCACTGGAGGATATAAATTTGTACAACATATACCAAATCTTACCCCTTCATCCTCCTACTGAAATTCCAGCCAAGTACAAAACCAAATCTCTGCATCTTTGTCTTGGAACTGGTGTCTCTATGAAGTCACATTCAGATTTCTTGTAATCACCTCCAAAATGAAAAGCAGAGTACAGGTGAAAGCACTGGTGCCCATGATATTCCAGTCCCTTGTATATCTGTGATTATAGCTTTCTACTTCCTCAGCTGTAAGCTTAGTTTAATAATTTCAACTTTAAAAAGCTCCTGAGAAATCAGAACCATGGTAGAAGCATGCTTTTAGTGGCTAATGCTTTTGCGTCTCTTATGAAAGACAGAACCCAATTAGAAGAACATATCAGCACTGCAAACAAAAAACACATTAAAAAGCAACAAATCTGCAAAACTTTTGTGTGCAAGCTTGACTTTAGACACTGCATAACCTCTAAGGCAGATCTTCCTCACAGTGAGATAACTCTTGTCTAAACCACACTTCAAAATTGATCTGCAGAATAGTTTAGTGATTTTATTGCCCTCAGATGGAGACCTTTTATAAGCCTGGGTCTGAAGAACAATACCCTGCCCCTGCAGAGGAGGACAAGACGGACAGCACTGGGTCAACTGTCTGTTGATAGACCAGGCCTAACAAACCATCTTTTGAAAGAACATGCACTCAGTCCTCACTATCTTTGTGGGTGCGTGAAACACCCATACATGCGAGATTCTGAATTAGGTGGACGAGCATGAAGTTGTAGTTTCAGCTCTCTTCTCCAAAGCATTTAGGCAATAAACTTAAGAAGTGTTTGGTAACAGTTCAGTAACTTAAGTGTTGAGGACTGAGGCTCTGACTGACTTCCACATTGTTTAGGGCAAATAATTGTTGGTTCAACTAAACCTTATTGTTAAGAGATAAACCTGATCACCAATTCTAAGGCTTAAAAACCTGCCTGTTTCCACTTCTTAACAAAGGAACAGAAAGTCTGTAGTATATTGCTAAACTGCAAGCCTACTAATTAAACTAACACTGACAGGAACATTTAGGCGCACCGTTTTACACCGGACACACCTCAGCAGCCAGCTGAAACGCAAAACGAGGAGCTTTTGCTAACGCTAACTCCTGATGAAAGGACAAGTGAAAACTCTGGCTTCTCACCCGTGGCTTCCTCAGCGTCACCACTGACGCATGCACTGTGGCGTGCAGTTTAGTTCAGCACCCAAGTTACAACAGTTCTTTAAAAGTAAATGGGGTGAGGGGGGATATAATGCCCATCTCCAACAACAGGGAGAGTCAGGATCTACAACCAAAATGTAAAAGGCTGCACTGAAACCAAAGCATTACATTACAAAGCCTGTCACTGCACACAATGACGTTTGTTAGGCGGCAAATGTAGCCAGAAGGAACGCGCTGTGTGGCGGAAAAGCCTTCGCACCAAAGGTTTCAGTCCTTGATTCTCTGCAAACATCTGTCTGTATCATTTGTTCTTGGTGAACTTTGATGTGGGATGGAGAGAACACAAAAAAACTTCCACTTGCCATTTCCACAACATTTGAATTGTTCCCCCTTTGTTTCCCTCCTCACTCTGTTACCCATTATCAGGCTACAACCCCAAAGCCAGGGCTGTGCACTGAGAAACTCTGATAGTCTGGATGTAGCTGTAACTATGTCTGGGCCTCTTAGCAAACAGACGAAGTTGTTGAAAGGTATTTCAGTCTCCTGACAAAGACGTAATCAAACTGATGTTAGAATTGCATGGAAACAATGAATGGGGGAGACAGTGGCTTTGGAAACTAAACTAAAATGCTAACCACCTGCGGAAAGAACAACAAAAAAGTCTCCAATTGTTTGAGTGGTATAAATGAAGCAAATGTGACATGACAACATGATGAAACAGGTAAGGAAACCTCATCTGTTGCGGCAGTGAGTTCTATTATATTGGGTGGAGAACAAGAATATGCTCAGGCCTGATGAAGGGAGCCTTACATGCCTAGCTGCTTCTATCAATCAAAGTTCTTCAGAGAAACAAACTTCCCAAATGCCAATACAAAATGTTATTAATTGCCTTCTGTCTTTTTTTGAGTTTGCATAAAATACTCAAGTCTTATTCCAAAAGAAACACCTTTCTGTAACGGGCTTGTCTCTGCTTCTTCGCTCAAAACCCAAATGATCTCCTTTAATGACACCATCAGCAGTTAAGCACAGAACAGGAAGGAAATGCAAAGGGTGCTTGCCAGGGTATGTATGTCTCAGTTCAAAACCAGCATTATACAAACAGAACAATCCATGTTTAAAAAAAGCAAACAAACACAAAAACCCAAGCAAACAAACGAACCCAAAGAGGGTTTACACTTCAGGATACTTTCAGTCTGAAATGAATGACAAGCAAGGACAATCACACAACTTTTCAACATTATAGTAAAACCCACAGGAAAATCAACTTTTGTAAAATCTTGGCTTATAATATTAGGGACCTATCCTGGTTCAATACCAAAATAATACAATCAAGTAGCACCCTTGTTTTAGGATACTTCATAAAGTTAACACCAACTGCTGAAAGACTAATAAGAGTTAATAGTGAGACTCTTAACAAGTCAAAGATTCATGTCTGAGAAGAGCTTTCTGAAGCACACGGTGCATTTTGAAAAATCTGGAATATCATAGGAGGTAGGATAATCTGTACAGAAGAAGACAGTGAGTCTTGTTCTGTTTTGCACACTATTTCCATCAACATAAAAAGCTTACTTAATAACATGCAAAATTTTGAAATCAGCTGGCACCTGATGAAAGAAACAGGGACAAAAGCACCTTCCCAAGAGCCAGTTGAGTATTCAACTGCTACACAGAACTCATCTCAACAAGGAGGACGGTTCAGATCAATACAACAGAAGTACAGTATCCTTTCTGAAGGCTTACAGTGAAATTCTTAGGCTTTTGTAAACATGAAAAATATTCACTGTTCCACATAATTCTTTGCTGTGTTTAGATTTTACAAAGTGCAAATTTTCTGTGGTTAAGGATTAGAAGTTGGATTTTTATTTGGTCTCAAAGAAGAAAGGGTTTGGTAGTGCTGAAAATGGTAGGCCTTTATCTATGGTCTTCGTTTCCCCCTATTTTGCTTCTCAGCATTTCTGGAAAGAATTTCTACATAAAACTAACTTGACATTCAGGCCAGTTCCCTGCTTTCTCTCTGAGAAGATTCCGATTCGTGCCTAAACACAGAATGGCAGACATCTCCTCCCTTTTTCTAAGGGAAGAGTTGAAGAGCTCAGTCCCCTGACCATAAACACCGTTTAGTACTGATAGTTTCCTTAATTCCCTCCTCCATTACAACCTCTAAATGATCCCTTTGTTGTGTTTCTCACGGATGCACCAGAGAGAAAGTTAGTCTAATGTATGATTCAGATCTGATTGATACTTCATCTCTAACACTCCCAATGATTTTAGAATCTGGGGAAGAAAGTGGAGAGTTCACATTTTGCTCTGATTTCCTGCCTCCCCCTCCCCCCACCCCCCCGTAATAAAGATGCTATAAAGTTGAGGCACAAGTGGTTAAGGGTGAACTTGATCAGTTCTAGCAGCTGGTTCTTGGACATGTCCTGGTGGTAAAGGCTGATCACCTCCCGCGGGATGTTTTGGTGCATCTCCAACTTTGTGTTCCCCAGCTGTAAAACAAGAATGAAACCATTTGTAACTTCCCAATTAAATTGGCTCCAAACGTGAAAAGTCTCTAAAGGCAAGTTTCTAGTGTTGGAGCAAACAAAACCTTCTAGTTTTTGGGTTATAAGTGGAATCAAGAATTTTGCATGTGACTAACAATGAATGTGTTATTATAATAATCAGAGTTTCCTCCTAGATTACTAGTTGTTTCTGTTTTCTGTGAAACATTTTTACCTACTTAACACATTGGATCTTTGGAGACTGTTCCTTGAAATATATCACAGGTTGACAAAACTTTTAATCCCAATATAGGAAGCTTGAAAAAAAAAATTTAACAACTTGCTCCTGTGTTCTACTCCTCACACGTCGACAATATTTACAACATCCTCCCTTTGCCTACCTTTGAGCAACACTAATTATCATAGTTTGCTGAAGATTTCAGAACTTGCATCTGGCTTTTTGTTATTATTTTTTCCCCTTAAATTACCCTTAGTAGCTCCAGTAGCCTCCAGATTAGAAATATTGTTTACTTGCACCTCCTTAACTCAGTGAATGAGTAGTGACTAGTTCTGGCTAGTATAATGAATTCTTATGACACCTGATTAAATGACTTTGCAGAAAGCTTTTACATGAAATACTGTATGTGTTAAGAACAGTATCTGCTACAATATTGCCAGTGTCAAAAGTTGTATCATTATGCCCTGGGAGTTGGACTCTGCTGTTACACATGATGTTTTTACAAAAAGTGAGGGGAAGTGAGGCTCTCATAACTAAGGATCATAAAACGAAATTACCCACAGGCATTTTTAAAGTAAATGAAAGATAAAATTAAATTGGTACTGAAACATCATTATTTCTCTTCACAGAAATGAGTGGCTTAGGGTAGAATTTCAGGGTACTCAACAAAGTGAGCTGTAATCACTGAAGGCAGCATTTAAGGTTTGAAATCCCACTGCTGGCCCTGCAGGAGCTTCCAGTATTCAAAAGGCTGACTGGTTACAGTCTGAAGCCTTATGTTTGAGATGAATGCCAAGAAGTTCTTGAGCTCTACTAATAACGTTAGCACGTGAACATGGAAGCCAATAAAGCCTTATTAGTTTCAGCCTTTATAGAGTAGGCGAAAAAGTGAAGTTGGGATGTATGGGAGTGCGGAGCCTCTTCAAAGCACAAAGGAAACACGTACAATGTGTTATGGATAAGAAGCGTTAATATAACCTGACCATTACGTTGCCACCAGTGAACAAATGCAATTATTTATTACGACACTTCTTCTGAGGTGTTCATACTGTCTAAAACTAACTTGTCATGTCATATTGTGCCCAACTGCTGCTAAATTGGCCACAGAGGATAGACCTGCTGAAAGCATTGAAATGCTTTGATTTGTTCTGCAGTCTGAGACTGGTAATGCAGCCACAGAACACCAGACCTGGTAATTGGTATGTCCCAAATCTTCTACGGATGCTCAGAAATCCTAGATCTCAATATTTTTAAACTGATAGGCACAACACAGTCCTTCTTCTCTGACCACTTGATGCCCTAAGCCTGGAACTATGGTTTTTTTACTGTGGACTTAAAAGCACTGAGATTTTAGGAATACTTTAGAAGACTTCCATACTTCCCTCTTTAAGATAGCTTAGTGAAGCTCTCTACAGAGGTTATTAAAACCACATTACACTAACACCTTCAACAGAAAGTACAGTTTTAACAACTTTTACGTTTGCAATCTTGTTTTGAAGTTTGCATGTCTACACAGAAAGATACATACGGGGCTGGAATTTCAGTTCTCCAGCTGGTCCTGCAGGAGGATTTCCTTGCTGTAATTTCTTTTGTTCCATCTGTTTTACAACCTGGTGAAAAATAAAATACCACAGTTGAAAATCTTAAATCTGCCAACTTTCTCTGCTGTAACATAAACGAATACACGTAAATTTTGCAGTCATGATGTCTTTGTTAATGGATATACCACTGAGTTGAGATGCTTTCATTGATTCCTATAATCCTGAACACTAAATTATGCTTTGCTGTGGAACCATTAGTTTAGAATTCAGCTGGGGCTCAGATGAGAAATCAAGGTAAAGAATGCTCCAGAGCTGGGGCTTGTCATGAGCCATTACCTATATAAGGATACAGAAGATGAAAAAGAAAAGTCTGTTCTCATATGTGTACCTGCTGCAGCTCTTGTTTCTGAGCCTGAAGCTGGTCGTGCTGCCTCTGTAGCTCTTCCTTCTGCTTCTGAAGATCTTCTGCCTTCTTTCTAAGTTCATCTTCCTGCTGAGAAATATGACTTTCAAATTCCTTCAGCTCCTCCTCAGTGAAAAGCTGCTGTTGATCTAGTGTCTGCAAGAAAACACATACAAACACTTAATGCAAATCTTCCCACTGCAATTATTATTAGCTCAATTGTACAGTTCACTGAACAACCCTCAGAATTTTCATCAAATACCAAGATGTGACACTATAAATAGTAAATTCACTGTAAGAAACAGCAAAATAGCTGTTCCTCAGCTATTTTCTCAGCAAAATTTTACTAGATATTTAGAAATAGGAGAAAAAATCCCTCTTGCTTCCAGCTGAGCTCTTCTCTTCCCTTTAAAGTGATTAATAAACAAAAATCTCCATTTTCTTTTTTGAAAAGCATGTGGGAAAAGCTCTTCCAGAGCCCACAGGGTGGCGCAAGGCCTTTTCTGTTTGCCTGCGGACCATAAAGATTACATCTGCATTACATTAGTCTGCTACACTTTGTACTTACATTTAGCTAAGGCGTTTAACCACACACATACCAGAACAGAACTGGAATAAAGCAAAGGTCAGAGACATGCCATTTGGTTTCCTGGTTAGAGTCATGGTAATAGTACCATATGTTGCACTTGGAACGCGTTCTCATTACCTCCCAGCTATCTGGCTCCAAAAATTCCTTTTTCTCTGTAGCTCGCAGGAACTCCTCCAAAGTCACTAGTCGGTCCTTATTGACGTCAACCTATTTGAAGAAAAAATTAAACTCAACCTAAAAGATGGGGACTGGTGGACCTAATGTTTAATTTTATTGTGTAAAACTTCAATTATAACCATTTCATTTTTAAACTGTCTCATTTTCAAGGGAGTACTTACATCTGATGCAATCTGTCACAATCTCATACAGCTTAACAAAAATGCAAATAAGAAGTAAATCCTCACATTTTAGTTCAAAAATCAATGGCTTTATTAGAAACGTTATTTGTGGCTCCAGCTCCAACACTAATAGTGGCAGGCATGATTTTTGAGAAAAATGTTTTGTAGTTTTCTGGTAATAATTTTGTAACTGTGAGTCAGAGTAATCTCCACTATTGGATAGGGAGGTTTTAAAACATCAAACAAACCCCAATAAATTGTGTCAGCATCCTTGAAGGGGAAGGGAGGAAATTCTTCCCTTTATGACTAATAGAATACCAGGCTTGCTCCACTCCTCAAGCATAATGAAAATAGTTGAATACATAAAAAAGACACAAGTGAAAAACACGGTGGTTCAAAACATCCTCTTCCCTTTCCTGTCTCCTGAGCTGAAAACCTATTAGAACCAGTAAAGGTATTCACTGTCATAGGTGATACCTTGAGCTCTGAGCCCTCTTCCAAAGGGATAAAGGTAAGCTACGTGAAAGAAAACATTGCTCTACTCCCTCTTCTCACACCTCAATCTTACCCATTTGCCAAGCGCAAAAGCACATCCAGAGTCTTCCCTGTTTGACAGAAAATTCACAGGGAATTTTTACTGAATCTCAGTATCTACAAAAGATGGAGGCTACAGCACAATTCCTCCTCTGGAACTTCTTCAATAAAAGCTATCCAGCAGGCATTTACGTCAGCATAAGGGGTCAGAGCTTGAGAATTGGAACTTTATGTGACTCCCAGAACAAACAGCATTCAGTGTGACAGGTCATTCCTTTCTGCTCTACTTGGACAACCCTTCACATTAGGAGGACTGAGTATCTTGAATGCAGAAGCAAGTCAACAGCTCTACTGAACGTCAGTCCTCACCTCATTCATTACATGTTCTCTCATTCTCAGCCTTTCTTCTTCCATTTCAACCATGTCATCCTCTTCATTTTTGGGATCATAAACTTTTTCGAGCTGAAATTCAAAATTAGCAAATGTTAGTTTGGAGACAGGGCTGCTCATTCAAACGACACAGCATCTTTGGAACAGTAGCACAGAATGTTGCTGAAAACACAAGTTCACCATTTTTCCACTAGAGTGTGTGTGTAACTCTCCTCTTTTAGCATAGTATTTAAGCAACAAGTGAGCCTTTCATTGCTAAGAATGAAGTTTTCAGTTAATTCATGCGGTCTGTTGTAACTCAGTGCTGTGGACATTACAGTAAAATTGACCTCGGCATGCACAGACTGATCCTCCGTTTGATTCAAAGCGGGACGAGTTTCCACATGATTTGTGGAACACGAGGGAGTACCTTATTTTCCCAAAGCATACAGCCTACCCTGTAAGCATTCAGGATATCACAAGACAAATTGAGTGTTTAATTTAACGGTCTGCTTCTCTTCTTGCACAATGTCTTTCTGGTGAGTTTATGCTTATTTGCTTCTTCTTAGGTTTCTTAGTCATTTAGCTTCACTTGCTTAGCCACAGGAAATTTTAAGGCCACAGCCTATTTGGTTTTTTAAACTACAAAGCTGCAAAATGGCAGGACATCTGTCAAAAAAGACTGCCATGTATCTTTGTTGTATTAGAGGAGATCATGGCAAAGTATTGTTAGAAATCTGTACTTGCAAATTTAATTTCTTAAAAAATCTACAGTAGTTTGAACTGTTTATATATACTGTATAGCACATTTCCTCCCTGACTCACGTAATCTAGAAAAAATTGTAAGACTAGGTATTGACAGCCATAGTACTGGATCTCAGAATGGGAAGTTTAGGGTTTTTTTCTGCTATACCAAAACAATACCTACTGGAAAAATGAAGACCAAAGCCCTTCATTTACTCATTGATTCTGCAATTCCTGTCACTCTAGAATTTCAGTACATTGCTATCCTTACCCTCTGGGAGGCAAAGAAGTACTAGTATTTGTGTTTTCACAGCCAAGAAACCAAGGCTTAAAAAAACAAAAAGCCAGTCTGTTTTATCAGCTATACATGTGTTCCAAACTACCTAGATACAAAATATGGGAAATTCCTGTAGCCGCTTCCACAACGTGCCATCTTTGAGCCAATTCACACGAGCGTGACCGTTTTTCTCTCAACAAGCCTTATGACTTCAGATTAACACCGAATGAGCACAGCTACCCAGCTTCAGAATCTCTTGCAGGCTGCCACCTAGCCAGAGCAGGAGCACAGCTCTCTGCATTGCAATTTATACAGGTGAATATAGCTGTTCTGCAGATCAATTATGAAGTCTCAAACAAGCCTGGGGCAGAGAAATACATGAGCTCTAGATTGCTGGTGTCTGAGTCTGAAGCCTCAACTACTTTATTTTCCCTGCAGACATGTTTTTATGCTTTTGTAGAAATGTTAAAGATGCACAAAACTTGGCATTAATACTTTAATTTTTAGTCCAAAGCCCCCCAGTACAGAAACCCCTGTAACCATTTACTGAAGCATGTTAAGTTTCTGAACTTTTTTTTTTTACCTCTTTAGTAAATAGGGCTTCTAATTCTTGTTCATCCAGGAAACCATCATTATTGACATCTACAAAAGAAGTGTTGAAAATAGAAGTTGAGTGTGTACAGAAAGTAAAACATGTAATAGCTATCCATTAGTTAAGTAAATATCAAAATCCACGTTTCACATGGATTAAAAACCTCATTTAACAAGATGCTAATTGCATAGGCCGATTTTTCTGTTCAGGTTTTTATCAGGTATTGGCTGAACTGTATTGCCAGTTTCTGGCTGGTTGGTTGGACAAGTCTAGAGCAATCTCCCTACTTCTTATATAGCAAACCGAAATAGGTCACAAAAGGATTGCACGGAGTGCAATCGCCGAAGAATATTGCTGAGAACAAGTTGTCCCAATTTAACAACTGAATTTGTAAATAGATTCAGGAGTAACAAAAATCTGTAGAAAAACTTTGTTAACCAACAGTATGACTCCAAAAAACCTAAATAATTTTGTGAAAAAGCTATATAAATATGCAGTGCTTGAGAAGACATCACTGTAAAATGATTTTCATGAAAAGAAAAGAATATTTGATAACTAACAATCCATCTTTATTCCTACATTCTACTCTGAATATTGTTATACTATCTCTGAAATTCAAAGAGACTGTTTACTTCAAGTAAGTGTTATTATACAATATTTTTGTTTCATTACTTCAAAGTATTTTTTTATATACTAAGCTCTAAGGCAAAAGGATCTTTCAGCTATTTCTGTTTTGGTAAGATTTGTACAAAAAATGTTCAGAAAATTATCTTTCAAGATCTCTTTCTAGAAAGAAGAACTAGGATTTAGTAATGTTTAGTCTAAACTTTTATCTTTGTTTATAAAATATAGAAATATGCATTACAGACTTCAGCTAAAACTGAAGTTTTAGCTTCGGTTTTAGCTTCAGGAACACTTCAGGTTAATTATCATCTTTGGGATTAGTCAAATGCTATGTACTGTTCAACCCCTCACAGCCCAGTGCCAGGCAGCATCTGCTTCAGAGTACTTTATTATGAAGCATTTAACAGTGTCAGAATATAAGGTTACTCATTTATATAATCACATTTAAATCAAAACGCCCACTGAGATGCAACCTCATCACCTACTATTTTATTGTTTCTAGCTGCACACTGGTCAGAAATCTAGAGGCAGGACTGGAAGGCATTTTGGTGTTTGTTTTATTAAGGGAATCTTGCAACTTCTGAAGAGGCTTGGCACTACTGTGACCATTCCAAATATAAGGGGTGTCTGCCACTTAACTGCAGGTACTATTTATTTATTGCTAGTATGTGGTGTATAAGCAGTTATAGTTATGGATAGCCCTCTAAGTACTCATACTTCCCTGAGGAATCACTACTGGTTATTGTCTGTTCCATTTTATGAGCAGTTAAACAAACCTGTTTTCAAATTTTAAACCCCACTTAAAACTTTGCAGTAAACTTACAAACAGTAACATAAATATTTTCTCCTCTACACTCTTTAGATTCATCCTAGCATAAGACAAACTTGCCCTCAACAGAAGGCAACAAAAAGTCACTTCACTTGTTCATTAAATTAAACTAAACATCTTACCGTGTAATTTGAAAAACGTTTTAGGGTCAAATTCATTAGGATCTAGTCCATCTGCTTCTTCCCACACCTCTTTCAGTTGATCTTTGCTTCCCTATAGAGCGGTTACAAAGAAAAGATATTCAAAAGATGATTAAGTGCAGTTTTTCTGCATTACAGTTTCTCTGAAACTGGCTTTATTTTCTGATTAGTCATGTTGTAAATGGAATCAATGGAATTTCCATTAATTCCCTTTTGGTCAGGTCTAATACTTTGTTTAGACAGAAAGGCCCAGAGAAAGAGGGAGTATCAAGGAGACAGATATTCTGTGGAAAGGAACACCCGTAATAACCAGACATGGCCACACAGACTCATCTAGAAGTAATAGCTGAAGTGAGTTAAATTAGTTTGCCTTTTCTAGAGCAAGTGGTACTGTGATGCAGTTCCCTGCAAGCCAGGCATACCATTAAGGCATCCTTACAGTTCTGAATACCACTCTGGCTTCTTCCTCATCAGTTTTTAGCTTCTTTGTAAATAATAATTCTGTCAGCAAATAGCATACTTGTACAGAAAAAAAAGGGCTGTATATAGTGGGGTTTGTAATGCTCTCAGCACTGTTCCCACACTCTATTCCCATGTCAATGAGAGGAGGCAAATGCTGAGAACAAACAAGATACACCCTCCTCTTTATTAGCTTTTTCCTCTCTGGAAAGAAAAGTTTCCACCCAATCATGTAAGAACAGACTATGGCCTTACAGGATGGTGAACTTTAGGGTGATCTCCATGTTTTTTCTTCATCTCCTCAAATTTGGATTCTTCTCGCTGCCTCTTTTCTTCATCCAGTGTTTTTAAATATTCTCTCCTCTCATGTTCTTTCATCATCTCATATTTCTTAAACTCCTCATGGCGGGTCTTATCATAGTTTTCCAGGTCACTTGTAGCCTAAAAATACAGATGAACGTAGACATATGGTCATGCCGCACGATGACGTTAGCACCCGCGACATTAAAAACACCGTACCGTTCAGACCTGTGGGCAAGGCTGGCCTTGTTGCCATTCTCATTTTAAACATGAAGTAGACTAATTGGGTCTTTTCTTCCCCATGACAGCGATGCAGAAACATCTCTCCTCAGGTATTTTTACAGAAATTCATTCACAAGAGTTCAACGGCTAGACAATTTCTGCAACTACACAGTGTGGTGAGAAGGCATCAAGGTGTGCTTTCTCATCAATTAATAATAAATTGGCTCAAGTTAAGTAACTCCTGTACTAATTAAGAGCAGTTTCAAATATTACAATTAGCTCCTTGATTATTTCAGATTAGGAACATTTGTATCTTATCCCAGAGTTTAATGAAAAAAGTGCCTTCATTAATAACAGGAGTTAGTTTGCAGTAGCTTAATACAGACAAAAAAAACCAATTATACAGAGAGAAAGGGTGTGAGGGGAGATTTTCTGACAAGTACTTATATAGAGTGAGAGATGTAGTGTTTTCAGACAGCTCAAGATATTAAAGGATGTTTTGGTAGTGCTTTTCAAAGTAACATGTTTATACCTGATACAGTCTCTCCAGTATTTAAATTTAATTTTCAGATTCACTGTATCTTTTCAAAAACAATTCCAAAGCAAAGACCCCTTAAAATGCCCATTGCACTCTGTCAATATCTCAGTGGAGAAATGAGAAGACAAAAAAAAATATATCTAATAAGAGAAAGAATTGCCCCATTGAGAATATGCTTCTCCTAGCCAACCACAATTTTTCCAGAAGTGATGCTCAGAAATGGCAAGAAACTTTATATCTACATAAAAAAATTTTTACAGAAAACTGAGATAAAATTTTCCAGGGGTAAAAAAAAAAAATATTACAGAAAGCTTAAAATATACCTTCTATCTTTCCATTTACTTTGGAAATACAAAACCTGTCAAGTTCTTGTGTCAGACACGCAGTGCTCTTTACAGCGTGTCTCAGATTAAAGCCGTTCTTCCCCTTGGGAAGTGTATTGTTTTCCAGCAGTTGAAGAAAGCCATGCCATGCTTAGCTTAACTGCATCCCCTTAATAAACATGCATTGAAACCTCCCCCACTGCTGTGATTGATCCTGAATCTGCTAAATAGACACTGAATGCCATGCCCAGCCAGTGCAATTTCTAATATTGGTATCTGTCTGCTGTGGTTCTGCAGCTTGATGTATATATAATCTATCTCAAAATTCAAATTGTTTAGGGATGATTATTTATGTCATTCTGTAAGACTTCCCAATAATGTATAAATCAAATTGTTTAGGGATGATTATTTATGTCATTCTGTAAGACTTCCCAATAATGTATAAATCAGAAAAATACACTTGGGAAAAATGTACCCCTATCAAAACTATGTTTAATTTAAAGGGTCACAGAAAGGCGTATTTTATTCCTGAAATTGCACTGGCACATGAATGCAAGTCCTGTTAAGATGCCACCCCAGAATTTATGGGCTTTTTAGCATAATGCACATTCTCAACAGCTTTCCAAGTGTGCAATGGAGACAACTGACTTTTCTCTGAAACTGAAAACTGCATGTCACTTATAAAAAAAGCAGTGTATATATAAAAGGATTTGCCTTTGCCAGAGAAAAAAAGCATAATAAATAATACCAAAAACCCCACAGTAGTTTATAACTAGCACTCACTGCTTTGATCAACATATCTAAGTCTTTAGGTTCAAATGTGTCAGGATTCTGATGGTTCAGGTGCTCAAACTGTTTAAGAAGAGACTGATGGTCTATGCCAGTGTCTGAAAGAACAAAGTACAAATGTTAAAGCATTAAAATAAGTTTGAAATCAAGCAAGATCAGGAGAATTAAAAACTTTTATATGGAAGCTAGTGCCTGATGTTCCATGAAGACTGGTTAATTTTTTCACTGTTGGAGGAAACTATAACTACACTTCTAAAGTTGATTTTCCTGAAGATCTGCAAACTTGATAGCAATTTGCACTATATTCTTTCCGATGTGTCAGTGTTGCATTGCACACAATCATTTAACATACACAAATCAGGGCTTGTGTTTCACCAAGGCAAAGTACAACTGATTTGAGCTTCAAACTAAGAAAAACATTTTATTTTCTTTTATATAAATGAAAGAGTTGAAGTTATGTGCAGTATCAAAGCACAGCAACTTGCATCCTTTTCCTGAACTGGGAGAAGTCTGACTTTTCTATTGCCCTGTACATTTTGCAAATTACTTGGATCTGGCCAGAGACGTATGTAAAATATGGTGTAAAATTATATCTAATCAGGTAAGCAGATATTCACATTTCATTTGTGCAAAATGAGAAGTGTGAGACAGCAGAGTCAAGTCCTGTGTCTAAAAGCTGCAAAAGTTTCTCCCTTTCTTATGACAGGAATGATACCCAACAGTATCAATACACAATGTACTAACAACAAAACACATTTCTACAACAGGCTTGTCTAGCTGTTACCATGGTTTCTGACTGCTAATGCTAGATGATAATGCTATCCTAAAGAGCATACATTTTCATATGTTATGTATAACAATTTTTATAAGCTTGTACTAGATGGCTTAAGAAATAATATTTTATTTGTTTTAAAAAATTGAGAAACATGATTTTGAACATGTTATTCTTTGGAAACTGTCTTACACTCAATGCTGTGTTTTTATTATCACAAAACAGCAAATGCTGGCTGGGGCAGATTTCAACTCTCATTCCTCTCTGGTGAGATCATAATTTCTGTTGAAATATATGTGCCTTAGCCTTCTTTTGAAACATTTTTAGAAGTGTAACAATAGGCTTAAAAACAAACATCACAAAAAAAATCCACACAAAAAAGACAACCCAGCCCCTAAACCCATTTTCTTCCATTTGTTATATTTATGGAAAAGAATCCTTCTATTTAACAGTACTTACTTGCCACATTACTGTATTATCTGAGACCCAACCCTTAACATTCTTCTGTCCTGTACCAATCAGTCTAGCAGGATCTTGGTGGAAATGTTTAAAAACACATCTGGATCAGGACTGAATATATGCAGAATATAATCTCTGTTGGGGTGTTTGTTTTTTTAAGCCTGATCTATCCAAGAGGGAAAAAAGCAGGGGGTTTTGTGGCTTTTTTTTTTTCTTCTTTCTTTAGATCAGATAGAAGACTAAAATATTAAGTGGTCTTATGGAGAAAAGATTAACATAATAAAAGGAAATCAAACGGCTCTGCCTACTGTTACTATAGCATCTTCTTCTGTACGTGTTCCAAGATCTTGCCTAGGTGTAGAGATGCAGCTGTATTTTATAGATAATCTGGCCATACTTGTGTAAGTGATGTAAAGTACTCACTGGGAGGGCTGATTTATGAACTTTATAATCATCTTATAAACTGTAGTTTATAAACTTTTTGTCCCTGCCCATGGCAGGGGGGTTGGAACTAGATGATCTTTAAGGTCCTTTCCAACAGAAATCGTTCTCTGATTCTAAACTGATGTGCTACAAAAATTTTTTAAAAAAAGGTTGAAAAAGTATTAGAAGTATCTGAAAAATCCACTGCCAGAATCAAGTTTAATTATTTATAAAATACAGATGGCTTTTCTCCCCAGTTTGCTATAAAGATGGGTCTTTATTGGCCCTGGGCCAGCTCAGAAAGGACACTCACTTTCAGGTTACAGTCATTATTGTTAACAACAAAGCATAACCCATGGACTTCGGGCACCTCTCCAACACAATCCCATCGGTTAACTCACCTAGTTGAATTCTATATTCTTACCTTGAACAGAATCCATTTTAGCTTTAATTAACATTCTTAATCTTGCCACCTCTTGTCTTTTTAGTTCATCCAGCCGTGTTCTCACATGGTGACTTACTAAGTCAAGCTCTCTGCTTAGTTTTCCACTCTGTCAAAAACCAAAAGTTATGTATAAAAACTAGAAGAAAGCAGCCTTTAGGATTCCCATTAGATATGAGCTGCAAGACAGGAGACTAGTGGCAGTCTTTGGCAATACTCTAGCTCACTCCATAAGAACGTCAACATTTTTTCGAAGAGCAGATTAAAAATTTTTTAAGCCTATGGTTATAGAAACAGGAAGGAATCCTAAAAACTTTCTGAAAAGAGAATTTCCAAATATCTTGCTCCTCCAAAGAGCAAAAATATGACCTTGAAGCATCAATATCTAATAATGTTTAAGTAGTGACAAATTTCTTCAGCAAATGTTCTCAAATTAGTTCAAAAGAACTGAGATGCACACCAAGTGCTGTGTTCTTCATCCACTTGATGATGGCTGTAAGACTTGAGAGAAGGTACAAGCACAGCCAGAGCCACCAATGCATACTGCAAGAATATTTACCAGATTTTGGAAATGGACAGTGACCTTCAAGGGTTAGACTAGATGCAGCACAGACGAAAAGGGAGCTGAAAGCTGCCAACGGCTACATGAGGAAATGCAAAAGGCAGGATCTCCTCTTTAAGTCTATTGCTTTAGACTGTTTCCTACCTGTCCCTTGCTGAATTTCTAGCTCATAAAGGGGAATGCAGAACAGCCACCACCTAGAGCCAGGAACTAAAGTAAAAAGACAAGAATGTGGTGAGGTTTTGGAGAGAGTGCTATGTGGATTGGCACAAAAGAAAGGACAGCAGTGGAGAAAGCCAGAGGTCTATTTTATTCTTATATACGATGACTACCTCTAGCACAACGCCTCAATTTCCTCAGACTTTAAAACCTGACTTTCTTATAATTCTCTTCCATGCCATCATATTCATTTGTGACACCACCTTAAACTCAGAATGCAGATATACCTCTGTGTTCAAGGGTTCCAAATTACTCAGCAGGCAACAGTGAGTGACAGCTATGCTTGCAGCTGTTTTGATGTACATGAAGGGGCACCTACGCGTATGAAGTCTGAAGCTGGCTTTTCAGTAGACAGGCAGAAACCATGCATTGAAGTATACTTTGTTGGGTTTCTTTGTTTATGCTGTTGGATATTCTTTATCAACAGAAGTTCTGCTGTCCCTTGACTAAAGACAAAGATCTAGCAAGAGTTAAATACCTAAGTAAATAAAACTGAGAGGAAATTTAAGCTCACAAAAATTGAGAGTATGAAAAAAGAAAAGTAAGAAAGAACACAACATACATGGTTCATGATCACTGATTTTAATAACCTTAATTTAACTCATTTTTTGTACCTACCTTTATTTCCTCTATGTCAGCAGTCTGGAGTTTCTCCCTGAAATGCTTATCTGTTTCCAAGACATCTATTACTTGCCTGAGATATTCATCATAATAAAGTCCTGTATCCTTCAAAAAAAGAATGTGAAATTGACCAAACATTTAACTTTGTTTAAATACAATGATTAAACCGAAATTTAAATCTCAGCAACATAGGCATTATACTCTCTTACATCTATTTGGTTTGATTTGTGATTTGCATCATTGCCCTATAACAGTTTATGATTCATTTGTTTCAACAACTGACAAGGAAAAGGAGAAAAGTGTTTAGGAATCCATGTCATACACAAGCATCTGTCATGGTAATATGACATGGTTGGTTTTGGTATCTTTTTAAACAGTGCAATTCATATGTTAATGTTCTATTTGAAACACTGAACTGGAATAACCAAATGCAATCTCCTACGCTACCACTGAGCGGTAGCACTCAATGAAAGAAGTCTCTGTGGAACAATAAGCAGTTCTTCCTAGAGTAAGCTGGGGAATTCCTCCCATGTGCCACCTCACCATTAGCAGCTCATGGGAAAAAAAATAAAATGGAACAAATGCAAACGGAACCACATCATACTGTACGACAATACTGGCTAATACTAGTTTCCTTCCTGTAAATCACGCCAGTAAATTTCAGGAAGGGAGTCTGCTACAGCCAGATGACAAACAGTTAGAAAAACTATTGAAATAGATAAATTTCATTAGACTTACTGGATTTTCTACCTTCTCTCCTTCTACGTGGCCTTCTCCTTTGACTTTTGTCTTATCTATGTCTATAGGTACAGCTTCCAAGGCCATTAGTAGGCATGTCATCAGCAAAATACACTGCTGGGGCAGGACAGATAGCCACTTCATCTGAAATGAGACCAAGTCACAAAAATTAACATAAATGATGGTAGCATATTGTACTGATTAGAATTTTTTGAAGTTCCTACATAGATACCTATCATAACCCACTTTCCACACGTTCTACTGCTCTCAAGGAAACACTGAAATTCAAAGAATTAAATACAGCTTTAACCCTTAAAGGCCTTTATTACACAGATTTTCTCAGACTATCTCACAGTTGTGTGGCAAGCCTAAATTGTACTGTAAACACTGAGACTTTTAACACGTTCAAGTATTATCAACGGCTCTGCAGAACAGGTGAGAACACCCAATGTTCATACACTTGTTTAGGATGGCCAAGTCTTGTATAACTCATGCTGACGTTCCTACTCCGATCATGTCTTTGCCGAAGTTACTGGCACACTCCTAAAGATTGTCATGGACACTGAATCAGATCTTAGTGTAGTAATGCCAGTAGTTTTTATGTTCCAGCAATGAAGCAGTTTGCCTACAACTTGATAATAAATGTAGATAACAGTACCTACTTAATATTAAGCATTGTTGGAACCCTATTTTCATACAATTTTTACATAAAAGCACTCTTATTAAGAAAAAAGCAGGGAAATGCATACAAGATGTGCAGAGATATTACTTCTTTTGGGGATGAGGAAGCAGCTGGAGATAAAAATATATCCACCTGTCCATCTTTTGTTTTATATGTCAAAGGCTCAAGAATGACAAGAAACTCTGAAATTACGTTTTTTCTTAATTACATCTTCTGCAAAAAGTGCCTAAGTTGATTCAGCTCAGTTATAGCAAATACCTGTTAGTTTCAGTTTAAAAATTACTAGCATCTGATCATTACCAGACGGCATAGCAGGAGTTATTGCTGCTGCTGTATGGAGCATATTAGATCTGATGTCAGCTCCACAACAGCAAGTCTGATTAGCTTTGCCTAGGTCATTCCTTTAAAACAAGCAAACACACAAACAAACAAAAAAACCCCAAAACCCAAACCCATATTGATTTGCTGGAACTAGTAAGTTAATTTCTACACTTCTACACAAGCTGTTAGCTTGCAGTAACTTTATAAAGCTGATGAACGAAGGAGTTAGTTATTCACTCACACTTTTAAAAATGCTCTGGTTACATAAGGTGTGTAAACGCTGGTTTTGAAAATCATATGTGGCTACTATTTGAGCATACTCATTTCATGCAGGACCAATGGGTCATGCAGTGAGATGAACCACGGCAGAGAGGCCAGAAACTCAAATGCTAGCCATAGCGATGGCATTGATTCACGCTCTGCCTACAGCAAGTACTAAAGCCAACACTTTCAACAATGACACCTGGTCTTTGACCAATTTTAAAGACATAGATAATCTTTTTAAAGCTGCTGACCAACAACGTCCAGTAACACAAATAATTGTGGAGATGGGGATTGTCAGTTTAGGCTAAAGTAGGGCACACCTTTCAATTTTTAGTACTTTTTCCCTAGCTACTCTGGAAAAACGATAGATAAAATGTCCATGCTGAACAAACAGCTGAGATTTAAGCAACCTTAGCAGTCTGCCAAGCCTCATATGAGGAAGCACTAATTTCCAGATTTGGGATGGGCAACTGGAGCTATATCATCTTAAACTACCTCTGCAGTAGTCAGCAGTGTTTATCTATCAAAAGCCCTAATCAAACTAAGTGCCATTGGATCTGCTGACTCTGTGGGATTTGTGCTCATGGACAATGTGGGTTCCCTTGGAAATACCAACCTTGGTAATTACACGCTGTCATACATAAAGGGAAAGACTGGATCATATCACAAAATGTTCTTCACATCTATTTGATGTAATAAGCTGCTCTGAAAAGAAGGCTACCTACTGTCCCTTGGGGAGTACTGTTTGAGGTTGCGCATAGGGTGTTTTTATTGTAGCCCCTTTGATAAAACAGGCCAAATTCTCTATAAGTACCAGGAAGAATTAAAAGCAGAGAAGACCAAAATGGGTAAGCAAAAAATATCTCTATAATTGCAGGTGATTTTGCAGACTGCTATGCCTGTGTCTACTTAACACAGTATTTCCTGTGTTAAGGAACCCAACTGTTCACACAACCTGTGCTGTAACAAGTACATTGGAAATACATTTATTAGGATGAAAATAATTACCTAGAGAAGACAGAATTACTGTATCTAATTAGGTATCTATTAGTCCAAGACTATATTCATCAAAATTCCCTCAATAAAAGCAGGTGACTAAGGCATGCGTCAACCTTTAGAGTGTGACAGTCACAACTGAGTCACCAAGCACACTCTATTCTGACACGTATTAGAAGACAGAAGTCAGGCCCATTGCAAATTCTAACATGAATCAGCTGCAAGAAAAAAATCCAGTAGGATTCTCTATTTCAGCAACTAGAGGGAAGAGTGACAAGAAGCAGGATGAGAGGGAAACTGGGGTTCCAGTGTTTGTTCCACTAGACACTTTACTATGAAGAGTTTATTGCACTCTGGCCTGTCACCAGTTACCTTCAAGAGTTCCTGACTTTTGACAAACCCATTCCTGGATGCCCATCCCTTCCCAGGGATTTTAGGTTGAATCTATGTGTCTGACCCGGGGATGTGGTTTCTTCTGTAAGTACTAGGAGCCATCAAGCCAACAACAATCACAGTGCTACCAAAATGGAGCAATGTCAATTTGATCACTGGTATCAGTGGTACATAATGCACAGCAGACACCCTCGTGCCCTGCCATGGGTATGTCGCTTGAGTCTATTAATACTATTCTTCCTACTGCTGTATAGTTCAATAGAAATATAAATTCTCATGTATCTGCCCAGCTGATTGCTACCTTCTTAAAGACAGATGGACAGAGCTAATCTTACAATTATCATCTGGAAATTAAGTGATTTTAGTCAAAGATCTAGCCCACCTAGATGAAAAGGTAGCACAACACTAATCTGCTTGAATCAGCCATCAATCTCATCTTTCTTAGGGGGATAAACATTTCTACCTGTAATACGTAATCAGAACCAATCATAGAAGTAGTGCTCTAGAACTGACAAATACTGTCGTTTATAAGCATAGCCAAAATAAGCTTTCAGGGAAAAAGAAAACAAAAAACCCTTCCAAATACTTTGAAGTATTTTAAAAAACTAGAGTGAGAGCCCAAAGAATGAGATAGTCAGCAGAAAACAGAGCCACCAATGTACTTGCATGAAAAGAAAAATACAATTGGAAAGAAAAGAATCAGGCTGTCTGCCAGCAACTTTGATCTTGATCCCACTACAGTTAATCACAAATTCCTATCAAACTCAATGGAACAGGAGTGGACATCTGAATTATACAGAGCTATGGATTTTGAAAGATAAGTACAAAATGCAGCTTCTAAAGTTTGTTGTAGCAACATCAACACAAGCAGTTAAACATAGCATTAGCAGTCCTATTTAACACAACTGCCACATGTTTATAGTATAAACTTCAAAATTTACTTTTAATTAACACCTATTGCCCATAAAACAGCATAGTTCTGGTACTGGTGTCTCCGTCACTCTCCTAGCAAAGCACAAATATTTTTAAAGACATAACACCCAATGTCAAGTTTTCTAAAAGTGAGATAGGCAGAACCATACAGTGCTATCAGCATATAGTGCATAGTGTCTGCACATGCAGAAGCTCAGTGTGTGATTACAAAGCGAGATAGCACAACACTGTAAATGCTGCATTGCATGTTTGCACTTGTCAAACCCATGCATACCATGATGGTCAGTGTAAACATAAGCCCAGATTTACAGAATATACAAATAAACCGACTTTTTCATAAAGCTTCATGAACACCTGCTGTATCTGATATGGAAGTAATTAAACCTGTGTGAGATGCAGTGCAAACACGCAGGATGATAGCAATATTCTCTATAGTCATGAATGTTCTGGAACTTCCTAATTTAATGCTGTACATGGGAGAAGTGAACAATCTTCCTATGCAGTGCTGCATACAACAGGAAAGAGGTATAATAGATCTACTGATCTTCATCTTTCTAAGAACATTCTAACCTCAGTACTAGAATGGGAATATTACAAATATTATATCTGAACCATGTAAAGTACTCCTTCAGCAGTCTGAACTAGCCATCTAGCAACTTGAATCTGTTTTCACCTTCCTGAAACAGTGATACACCTGTCCATATACTCAAATTTAAATAGAAAATGATTGATTCCAGGGTTTTTCCATTTCTTTGAAAATTATTTGCAAAGTTATAAATTGATTAGCTCACAAAATCTTAAATAAAAATACATTAAATGTTTGAAATTAGGCAGAAACACACTAGAGTGCTGCCACACTTTGTCTGGAAACATCTGAAATACTAGTGTTAGTTTCTTCCTGTTCTACACCTTCACCAGCAACAATGCATCTACAGTTAATGCATCTTCTTCGCAGTGTTAATCCATGAGTTGAATTTATAGTAGCATGGCTAAAATGAGGTAACAATTTTGAGAAGCCAGTGCAGAAATGTTTCAGCTCAAGATACTAAGCTAAACCTCTGGCTGGGGTGAAGGTGTCTTTTCACTAGGTCACCAGCCCTCTAGATATAGATTTCTCCTAAGAGACATGAGCAGAAAGCAACATAAGAGAAATGGCTACAATCTGCATTAGTTTTCCCTTTACAACTTATCTTTCAAAATACAGAAGCACCTGCATACTTTTCTTACCAAATGAGAATTCATCCTTTTAAAAGATAACACGCAAGCATCATTTTTCCCCTCTCTCCTCTTCCAGTAAATGTCCCACCCACACAAGCAGCAAGTTTTCCTTTCATTATCCTTCAAGCACTTTTTCTCTTCCATCAAAGTTGTCCATTAACCCCATGAATCAGATGTTACTTTTTTTTTCTAGCCAATATCCAACAGGTTTCAACCCAGACACGCTCTCCTAATCTTTTGTTAGTACATCCCACTCAGTTCTCTACACCAGCAGCCATTGCTTACTTTTTCAAGGAAGCATTTTAATGATGTACATCAATATAGTTTTATATAAACCAG